AGGAAGGAAGGAAGGAAGGAAGGAAGGAAGGAAGGAAGGAAGGGCATCCAAATAAAATTATTTATTTTCACAGATAACGTAAACCTATATATAGAAAACCCTAAATATTCAACACACAAAAAAACTGTTAGAATTAATAAACTAAGTCAGCAAAGTGGCAAGATACAAAATCATTATCCAAAAATCAGTTGCATTTCTATACACCAACAATTAACAATTGTAAAGGAAAGCAAATCTATTTTCAATAGCATCAAAAGAGAAAAAATACTTAATAATAAATTTAATTAAAGTGGTGTTTCAGCTAAACATTGGGGCACCAACTAGGACTAATACTACCATTTTATTAGATTATGCCAATTTTTAAGGCAAAAACAATTCTAGAGCAAGAGTGTCATTTCCTAATGAGAAGAGTTCATCCAGTAAGAATATATATTTATTGTAGATTTTTTGCACCTAATACTATAACTTCAAATTATATACAGCAAATTCTGGTAAAACAAAAAGAAAATAGACAAATCTACTTGTATTTTGTATTAGTAACTGATAGAAGAAGCAAATAAGACACAAATAAGATATGAATGATTTGAGCAACACAATTAATATAGTTGACCTAATTAACAATATAAACTACTCTATCCAGCAATGATAGAATTCACATTCTTTCGAGGAGCACATACATTTATCAATGAACATATAGGCCATAAAGCATATCTCAACAAATTCAAAATATTAAAACATTCAGAATATGTTTTCTCATTAAAGGGAAGTTAAGCTTGAATTTTTTTTTTTTCTTGAGACAGAATCTTACGCTGTTGCCCAAACTGGAGTGCAGTGGTACGATCTTGGCTCACTGTAACTTCTGCCTCCCTCCTCTCATTCTCTTACCTTCCCTCTAACCTCTAGGTAGGGGAGAGAGGGATGGTGGTTGAGTCAATCACTAATGGCCAATGATTTAAGATATCATGCCTACATAAGGAAGCTTCCATAAAAACCCAAAAGGGCAGTGTTCAGAATGCTCATAGGTTGATGAAGACATGGAGGTGCTGGGAGGGTGGTAGGCCTGGAGAGGGCATAGAAGCTCCATGCCCCCACATACCTCACCCTATGCATTTCTTCCATCTACTGTTCCTAAATTATTTCTGCTTAATAAACCAGTAACCTAGGAAGTAAACTGTTTTTCTGCATTCTGTGACTTGTATCAGCAAATTATTGAACACAACAAGAGGCTCATGGGAATCCTGATTTATACTCAATTGATCAGAAGTGAGAAGGGAAGCCTGAACTTGGGGTTGGCCTCTGAAGTAGGGGCAATCTTGTGGGACTGAGCCCTTAACCTGTAGGATCTGATGCTAATTCCAGGTAGATAGTGTAGGATACCCAATTATGGTCAGTGGAGAAATGGAGAATTGCTTGTTGGGGAACAAATCCACACCATATGGTCACAGAAGTGTTGGAAGTGTTCAGTGTGTGTATAGAGAAAAGCAGTTTGTGTTTCATTCTACAAGATCATGGGGTGTTGTCCCCAGTGGGAGCGTCAATCTTAATGCTAAGTAAAGTGAGAAGGGCCACAGCAGAAAATCTGGACTCTTGTAAGTAGGATCATGACTAGTCTGCATATAGAAGTATTTATCACCCAAACTAGGACAGTCTTGAGAGTAAAAGGAGTCACTATTATAAATTTTGCAGGAACAACATGGCTCAGTCAAACCAGGACTTCTGGTAGATCTTGTCATAATTGATGAGAAAAAATTATAATCACAATGCCAAATTGTGCGTGGAGAGCGACCCATTTTAAGCCCCTCTTTGTTAAATAGGATAGACTCTCAGGAAATTATGTTTCCTCACTAAAGTGGGAAAACATCCCCCATTCCTGTAATTTAGGCTACTGGCTTACCCAATAGTCTGTTCTGGAAACTGTCTTGCATATTTACATAATGGGCCACTTCGCAAGTCTTCCTGATAAACTTTATGAAGTCTTTCCAATAATATGCTTGTTTCAGGGAAAACTGTGCTTTTTCAAGTGTATGAAATATCCTGCAGTCAAAAAGAATCCAGAGAAAATTAAAATTTAAAAATGATCTTGCAGATGACAGTTAGATCATTATAAATTTTTCTAAAAACAAATATATGCAAATGCATGGCAGTCCACTTATGTAAGGAAATAGAATCTTACATAAGTGGTAGAAATAGTTCTACTAATTTTTTTAGTTTGTTTACACACTCCTCTACTTTGACTTGAAAAATGAGGAAAGCAATTTATGAGAATACATAAAATATAAGACAGAACAAGTCAACAAGTATAAAAAGAGGAAAATTAAAGACCATAACAGGAAGTGAACTTAAAGATTAAGAAAATAAATATTCCCTATTTGACATATTTGATGAAGAACTTCCTAGCAGTCAAGGAAAATGGAAATTGATCACACATATAATTCACAGAGTCATAAAATAAAAACAAGGCAAATTTTATGTACAGTTACAGCTCCCAAGAGAAGCTTCCTTTTGGTAGTTAATGCATGATTTCTGAGTAATGACACAAACAAGAACTTCAATCACATGCATACCTTGGACTTACCAGGGATCCTCAATTTCTAATGAAAGATTAAGTCAGTGGTTAAACATTAAGGGAATCGTTTCATATTTTACAGTTTTTAGATACTTTCCAACAGTACCAGTAGTTTAATATTTTTAAAATAAATTGAACCTCTTTCTATTCAAAATATAATCTGCCATATTGATTTATCATTTGTGTGGAAGGTGCAGTTGAAATCATTTTGATGTCCCGATTGTTTATAAGTTTCCCACAAACATGTACTTACACTGTGGAGACAAGCTGGGGCTTACAGTCACTAGAAAAGACATTCTCAGGAGAGGTATCGGCTCCCAGCAGCAGGAAGAGCCGAGTACAGGAAATGCTTGCTTCTGACAGCTGCGTCTCAAGTTCCTGCCAGTCCAAATATTCTTCAGGTATTAAAACTGACATATTTGTGCGCCAAGTAATGACCTCTTGCAAAATACGATCCTTAACAAGAAAAGAAGATATTGCTTATAATAAATAATCAATTCAAATGTGGGTACTTGAGATGCGGCCTTTACCTTGTATCACTTAACAAGGGATCCACTCAAACTGTACATCAAAGATCGTGCCCTATGGCATGGTAATTATCTAAGTTATAGTTCCAGACTTGAATCTTTACTCATGTTCAGGTTAATAAGTCCAAAAATAAAACTTAATGCGATAATAAAGTGAATATTTTATTTCTTGATAGCTTGACACTGAACACAGTGTCATAGCTATCTGTGTTCGCTGGTTGTGACAAGTAGCCTGTGAATCAAGACCCCCCGAGATTCTCATTCTTAGTACCACCTTCCACAATTCCTCTAGGCTGAGATCTGGCTCACACAAACCCATAAAAGGCAGCAGAAGTGAATTGTGCCAGATTGTGCCAGTTCCAGTTCTACCTTCTCTGAGGAGTGGCAGCTTCTACTCTCCCTCCTTGCCTGATCCTGTGTGCAGGATCCCTGGATAGCCATGTCAGAAGTCTGGTTACCCTGCTGAAAGGCCATATGGAGAGGCTACCTGGAGAAGAGACATCTTGAGTCTGAGAGGAGAGTGAGAGGCCTTCATCTCAGTATCCCAGCTAACCAGACTCCAGCCCTCACAGCCACCTGACTGCAACTACATGAATGATGCCCAGTAAGACCATCAGAAGAACCACCCCCACTGAGCCCAGTCAACCCATAGTCAGAAGAGAAAGAAAAGAATGTGTTTTGTTTTAGGTCACTGAACTTTGGGGTGATTTGTTAGTGATATGTATCCTAGGCATCATCAGAAAGGCTATCTCAAGTATATGTAACCTGTAAATATATAGTTTCCTGCTTTATATGAGACTACCAGTTAGGCTTTACAGATAAAAAGAAATTTGGCATGGGATTTCTGCCAGGAAAGAGCTGACATCCAGTCACAAGAAAGGTATTTGCAAACAGGTAATTTTTTTTGTGCCTGCATGCATTCACATACACTATTCTTCTTTTTTTTTTTTTTTTTTTTTCATTTTTTTAATAGGGTCTCACATTGTTACCCAGGCTGGAGTGCAATGGTGTGATTATGGCTCACTGCAGCCTTGACTTGCTGGGCTCAAGCAATTCTCCCACCTCAGCCTCCTAAGTAGCTGGTATTACAGGTGTGTGCCACCACATCTATCTAATTTTTGTTTTTGTTTTTGTAGAGATGGAGTTTAGCTATATTGCCCATGTTGGTCTTAAACTCCTGGGCTCAAAAGATCTGCCCACCTAGACCTCTCAAAGTGCAGGGACTACAGGCATGAGCTACCATGCCCTGCCCTTTGCTGGGAATGACTAATCACCAGAGAGACTCCTCTGCTGTTCTTAGCATGTGCAGCCAAGAATGAAGCAGATCAAGGATCCAGGAAGCCAGAAAAGCAGAAGTGGCCTGTTTTGAAAGTTTGAGGAATTTCAAGTAGGTTTTGGCCAGGCGGGTGGCATACAACCCTTCAGTCAGACAGAAGGTCCAGCACTGAAGGGCGGCTGAAGTTCAGAGAGCCACCTTCCTTTAAGTGTATGGGCTCATGGCAAAACTTTCCTCATCAAAACTCCAGGTTAAATATTAGCATCTTTGGTGAATTTAATCTTAAACTGGTACTCTTAGAAGAGCTAAGATGGTAGAATACTTACAGCATCCTCTACTGAACCAAGTAGCTTGTTTAAAACACTGGTCTCAGAGGAGTTACAATAGCACACCAGTCCCTGGAGACCATCCCATATGCTGGAGTTTCCAGGGGGCAAAAAGACCTCCTTCTCAGAGAAATCACCATTCGGGCAGACAGCATTCTTCGCCAACATCTAAAAGATTAATAAGAGTGGGAAGGAGTAACATTTAAAGAGGCTTAGATACCCTCTTCATGGGCTCAAGAACTGCAAATACAATAAGCAATGATAAACATTTTAAACACAACATAAGGTTTTGGAAAACCTGCATATTGTTCCCTTTTTTTACTAGCACAATTCACAAAAGGAGCAAAACTGAATATTGCAAGAGCTTCTTGAATGTTTTATTAAAATTGCTTATTTATAACTCTTTGCTGTGCTTTACCTGTTTTAGCTCCCAAAAGAACACATCCTTTTCCAGTTTCAACTGGTCAAGTTCAAACCATTTAAAATCATTAGCTGACGTCTCCAGGCAAATGAGGACTTCTGCAAAGTAGACAAATCGATCATTATTCACCTAAGGTAGGTAAGCTTGACTCCTACACATGGCCATGAATCAATAAACTGGATCCTGAAAACATGGATTTTTAAAAACTTGACCTATTATTATACATGTTCTTCTCTTCCTTAGAAAGGAAAACAGGAGTCATTGTAATATCATTTTATCCTTTCCAAAGACTACTGAGTATGAGTTATCAGTTACAGAAGAGTTTTGCTTCTAAAGCAACAACCCCCTCACATTTTCCCTCTCCTCCCTGAGAAAATGAAACGGCTGCAGCCCATCTGGGCAAAAGTGCAAACCTGACCTCCTCAGAAGAGGGCCGAAGGAATAATGCTCACCATAGTCAAGAAAGTTCAAAGAAGGGCATTCTGCAAACCCAGGGGGAACACGCTCTCCCTACCAGACACCAAGGAGCAGCGGTGGGAGGAGGCAGTAGAAGGAACAGAATACAAAAGATTCGCTTATTCACAATGCACTAAGGTCCCTTTCCAGCCTGAAAACCATGGATGCTGCTGTGAATGTGAAAGTCAACCCAGCCCTAGGACACTGCTTGTCATAGGCCACAGGATGGGCTTAAGGAAAACAGAAGGATGCGCTCTTCACAGTTCTCTCATTGTTTATTTAGCCTTGGTGTGTTGTATTTTAAATTCCCTAGAAGGCATCAGAGCAAAGCATAAATATGCATACGACACCAGCAAAGTTATCTCCCAACTTTACAATGTGTCAGGCAGTTTCAAGTCCATTTTCCAATAAATTTCATGTTTACTCTTAGTGAGTCGGGGACAAAGAACACCAGAGCTAGCTTACCTTGGACAAAATGTAAATTCTGAGCTATCGCATTTCTGAGAGCTCCATCAAGCTGAAGAAATCTCTTCAGTGCCGGCCACTGGGGCAGGTTTTGCAGCAAGCTTTGCAATTTCCACAGATGCTGTAATCTGAGTGCAAAAATAAATAAACGAAATAAAATGAAAGGTAGTTCAAAGTGCCAACTAGGGAAATAAAAATTCCATTCAAAGGAAAATATTCCACTACTTTGAGAAGTGTGTTCACCACACTGAAAGTCACACTTCATCACACAACCAGGTTCTTGACGAATTGCATTGTTTGAGTCACCAGATTTGGAGATTCTTTTGGTACTGAATGTGGATTAAACATTCTCTTTACTCCAAAATGGAAAAGTATATTCCTAGTAGTGTGTAAAAGAAGTGAGGGTTATGATAAAGTTTCACATGGGATCTAAAAACATTTGCCTTGAAGCCTATAGTTAATGAGACATAGAAAAATATTTTGAGAAAAGTTTCAAAATATAAAGATGGTGTGTGGTGGTGGACAGGACCCATTGCAGTGGTCCCAACTTGGGCCAATTGGCAATGCCTGTAGGATTCTCCAAAGTCAAAGGAAGAATGACCAGCCAGGCAGCTCAATACAAATAGTCCCTGGAGTGTCAGACTAATGGGCTCCAGACATGGAAGAAATAACTGAGAAGAGAAGCTGGAAAGAAAATGAGTTTGATAATGTGAAGAACCTGAAATTGGAAATAAATATGGGAGAGGGAGGAGCAAGACACAGTCACACTGTGGGTGGCAGAACTGCCCAAAGCAGGGGACTCCAGGCTTTCTGTGTCTTTGAGCAATTACATGGAATCCTTACCCTTGATAAACGAGGCAAACTACAAAAAGAGAACAGCAGAAAGAGATGTAGCTACTTGAAGCCCAAGCAAAATGTTCCACTGGCTGGAGCCATCCCACAGCTTTGAGCGCCTGGCATCCATTTGGACTTCTGTGTCATAGAGGTCAGTCTCTTCACGGCACCTTGATAATTTGGGGTTGAACACAGGCTTGATAAATAGTTGCTGCTATTATCTAGCTGGAGAGCTGATGGACCTGACAACTATAGAGGGAATAGAGAGAGCGAACAAGGTCCCAGTGATAATTCTCCTATGAGACACCAGCAGGAAGTGGTACCCATCCCCAAGTCATCACCCTACAACGCGAAGCAATTGCTCCATCACAGCCACATGCTTGAGGTTTCTGGCTGCTGACCAGAATCCTGACACCTCGTGCGATAGTGAAGCTGGAAGCACAGCTTTTGGAACTGGCCACCTGCAGAATGAACTGGGCTTAGGTTAGTCCTTGCTCTGACTCTTTGGGTTACACTGAGAAGGAAGCAGAGTGGCTCCTGGAAAGAACTAAAAAGTGAGAAAGAGATTATCTTATTTTCCCCAAGGTAAAAAGAAATGCTGTGTGGCTTGGAACCTGGATCTTACTGTCAAGTCTCTTTAAACTCTGACAAGCAAGGATACCACATGGCCAGACCCTAGGGACTATTCCCCCCACCTCTGTGAACAGACACTTCACATTCACAACAACGTGCGACATTGAAGGGCGAGTCCTTGCTGGAGGGCCCGGAGGCACCTCTGTGAGTCCTCGCCTTGCCAAAATCCAGGCTATCTGCTAGAGCCTGGGTGAAGAGCTCCCACACCTCAGCCACCCCGAATGCAGGGATGTGGGCAGGAACCAGACAGAACCTGGAGAAGAAAAGGCAGTCTGTAATGACATGAAGAACTCAGTAGAAAACTGAGAGTCTGGTGTGATTTCCATTTCTTTTGGGTGAACATTGCAGCTTAGGAAAAGAAAAAGATATGAACAATTGGCTGTGGAGACAGGGTAGGAAAAAAAAATGGGGTTTCTTGGACCAAAGCTAATGACAAAAGATACACAGTTTTCTGCTAAGGGTGCATGTGAATCTCAGAAAGATGTAAAGAAGGCTGAAGGTGGCCAGGTGTGGTGGCTCATGCCTGGAATTCCAGCACGTTGGGAGGCCAAGGAGGGCAGATCACTTGATGCCAGGAGTTCAAGTTCAGCCTGGCCAATATGGTGAAACCCTGTCTCTACTAAAATTGCAAAAATTAGCTGGGCAGTAGTGGCTTGAGCCTGTAATCCCAGCTACTCAGGAGGCTAAGGCAGGAGAATCGCTTGAGTCTGAGAGGTGGAGGTTGCGGGGAGCCAAGATCGCGCCATCCTACTTCAGCCTGGGCGACAGAGCGAGACTCTGTCTCAAAGCAAAACAAAACAAAGAAAAAAAAAGCAAAGCCAGTGTTTGAGCCTCACCTTCCTGGCACTGAGAATGTGTGGAAATTATATAGGTGGGCAGAAGAATGAGGGCTATCCTAGCTTCGTACCTAGAGTGTGGTGTAGTCTTCAGCTTCCCCAATCTTTGTAGGACTAAGAGCCAGATACAGCTTCCTGGGGCTTCAATTCCCTGGCCTGGCACACAGCAGGCAAAATCCTAGGTTAAAGTGCCAGGGGGCATTCGAGATTTGTGGGATAATTACTTAATGTGGTGTTTCTATTAATGTGCATTAAGTAACAGACCAGCAGGGAGGTTTTCAATATCCCCAATGCAATGTCCCTGCATTTGTTCATTTATGACAGATGTTTTGTCCCTGCTCTTTGCCTAGATCACTGCTTCAAGGCATCCTTGCTGGCTCCCTGCATCCATCCTCCTGCAGCTTCTATGGCTCTGATGGGGAACTGTATTTCTGCCTCTAGCACCATCACCTCATGCCCTAGAACATCTCTTAAGTAAAAGTTAGGAAATAGGACCTTTGAAAGCAAGATCCTGTTTGCTAACAGTTTCAGAATATGTGAAAGAATTCAAAGTGTTTAGAATTGCTATTTCTTAAGTAATCATAATAACACAATATGGTCCTATCCAATTCTGTCATCACAACTCTCCTTCATGGTACACAGAGAGCAAGAATTTGTGTGACCTGGTTTGAAATGAACATTTTTGAGATAATATTGAGAAATCATATTGTTCTTTTCCAAAGAGACCCTTAACTTCAGAAAGATAATAAGATTCAAGTTACTACAAACTGCCACACCTACTGAGGGAAAAGATCTAGTCGGCTATTTTGGTGAATAAATTGTGGTTATCTTTAAAAAGGAAGAAACAAGTTCCATCATTTCCTACTTCTAAAATATTTCTAGACCTTATGTAAATGCTTCAACTATACAAAATCTTTAAGTAAATATAAAAACATATTTTTAGAAGAGGAAGATTCTAGGAAAAGAGCTACTCATGTAAGGTAGTTCTGTACATAAAAATGCCTCTGAAATGTACTTATTCATTTTAAAACAAATGCCAAAGACATAAAATCTAAAATCCAGGAAACTGACATCTTCTCAAATATTGTTCCCATATTCGGTGATTGCAGCCTCTGAATAGGCATCCAGAGTGCTGCCAAGACTTCTACCCTGGCGATGGTCCACAATGAAAGCCTCTGATTTCCCATTTGCTAACTAGAAATTCATTGTTTAGCTGTAGTTTTACACAATGTGTTCCTAACACATTCTGTATCATCATGCACTCTTTAAAATTCTGCATCATCCACTTAATCAATAATCAAACAGGGAAATGCGCCTTACATCTTTGGAAATGTATGATTATCTTTTGGGCCATCTGCTGCCAAGCTATCATTCAGCAGGAGCAGCACAGTGTGCAGAGCTTCCACCACCTTCCAGGGCTTGTTCTCTTTTTCAAACTGATTCCTGAGAGCCTCCAGACTATGGCCCATGCCTGTGAGTGTCTTCTGACGCAGACTACCCTGTTGCCACTGATCAAACACCTACAAATTCGGAAACAAAAATACTAGCATTAATAACAGCAAATTGGAAAGAATAGTATTTAGTTAAGAAATTTTAACAGACCGCTGTAGATGACAAACAACCAATCTTTATTTTTTGGTAAATTAAAATGTCTGTTAGCAATTGCATTATGATTTAATTTCTACTCAGAAATTAAAGATTTCATGTTGCAACAATGGAGGCACACAACTTTATAATCTCTGCCTTATTTCTCTTTTTTCCCCCAAAGAGAAAAAAAAAGAGAGAAGGGAATAACATACACCTTTAAACAAATGAAATATAATTTAAAACATAAATGGACATATTTAGGATAACATAAATATATTTACATATTTTTAAGTATACACCAAAGTTAATACATAGTTACTAAATGCCATTTTATGACATGGACATGGGGAAGATGATACTGAAGTCAATTAGCAGTGTGGTTTATCATCAACATTACACAAAAATAGATCATTCTTGCCCAAGCCTGATAGCATGGGGAGGTGCCTGATGTGTATGTATGTGTGCTAACTACGCCTTAATTAACCAGTTATGTTACCCAGATAAAGCACAAAGCAAGAGTGTCCACTAGACCATTGGATGCTGGTCATTTCAACACTGTCCCTTGATTATTTTAGTGCTGGATGACTGTAGTGCCACGAAGCAGACAACAACACCTATATATTTTTAATGATGTTTTATCCACTATTTGAGATTTTGGCCTTTATACATGACACATATTAGCAGGGGACAAAGTTAAAGAGGTGTGTTCTTTAAGGAAGAACATTAGACGGAGACAGCAAAACCTGATAAAACAAATGGGAAGTGACTGCCATGGGAGCTCTGCCTCACAGTCTCCAAAACCTCCCCAAGAAGCACAAAGCTGTGAAACAGCCAGGGTCCTGTGAGCTTCTGAGACCAAGAGCAGTCTAATCACTCAGGCACCCTGCCCCACACCAACATCTCTGTAAAGACAGACTAGAGCCTGCCTTCGTGTTGTCAAATTATGGTCACTGAAATCACAGTCACTGTTTGTGCACAGAGCTTCTGGTCAAAACCAGAGTGAAGGGACAAGGCCAGTCCAGAGCTCAAAGTGCTAGAAGGATGCTGAATGCTAGCATGCAAACGTCCAAAGAGCTGGTCAAAGTATTCCAGGGCAATCTCATGCACCAATAACGGAGCACGGGTCTAGGAACTTCTGAGCTGCCAAGGTGTGTGTGCAAGCCTAGGATGGACTGTTTGGTGATGAGTGTTGAGGGCCTAGGCCTATGGAACTGGAGCCAGCTGATGCACATGGGACAAAGTGCACTCAATGGCCAGGATGTGGGGCCATTTTATGTCCCTTTCCTGGGAGGAACATAAAATCCAACAGTAAGCAACATGGCAGGGTCGGGGAGGAGAATGGATTTGGACACTCAAACTGACACACCTTTGAACAGAACATATAGACAGGGGACAGCACCTTTTGGTAGACTCTCAGCCAGCTGACTGCATGGACAAGATAGTTTTTGGCTTCTGACCACTTGGGGTGGCAGTCTCCAACGCAGCCCCATTTCTCAGCTTCATCCTCTGATGTGCTGGACAAGGCTGAACACACCATCTTCTCCAAAGAGTTGTCTGTGGGAATCTGACAAGAATATGAAAAATCATTTAGATGTAAAGCTCCTTTCCTAGAACCTTTCTCTTCTAAAAATAACACCACAATCTTGCCATAGTAAAAGTTCTTACATTTGCTTGATTGAAGAAGTAATACGTGATGATATCCACGTGATTTACCTTGAGGGAAGACTTGGTAGTTTAAAAAAAAAAAAAGTTACATTTTTCAGTTTTATCCGCAAACAACGGGAACAGCTGTTTCTCCAGGCCAAGGACATGGAAATGACATCAAATCTTGTTTCTTTTGATTCTCAGGCCAAAAGTGAACATGGGTCAGCCCAGTTTAATTGATACTTTGGATTAACAAAGTTGTTTTGCCAAGAACATTTTCTTTTCTGATTATCAAACGTGGATAAAATTGGAAAGATTCAAATTGAGGTCCTGGTTCAGAAACTGTTTAATATTTTTGAACCAAATCTCCTTTATTTTATACATGAACTTCAACACAGTTCCCTAACACTGCCTTGTAAATACTTATGTTTGTGTTATAATGATGCACATTCCCCTACAACAATTTTAATGCCATCTTTAAGAGATTCTGTTGATGACTGCCATAGTCTAAATGCTTGTGGACTCCCCACTCCCAAAATTCATATTTTGAAATCCTAGCCCACAAGGTGATGGTATGAGGAGGTGGGGCCTTGGGGAGCTGGTCAGATCATGAGGGTAAACTCTTATGAATGGGATTAGTACCCTGATAAAAGAGACCCAGGGAGTTCCCTTACCCCTTCTACCATGTGAGGACACAGCGAGATAAATTTCTGTTGTTTACAAGCCACTCCATCTATGGTCTTTTTTTATAACAGCCTGAATTGACTAAATAATGGCAATAGTCAAAAAGCTTAATTTTAGTCCCGTGTGTTCACTTTTAGGTTCCTTTAGGGTCAATATTTAAAATATTAACCTGTGGCTGTCAAAGCACAGGGTCCCTGATGTTTTGTTTTGGTTTTTTTCTCTTAATTAAAAATAATCAACAATACCATGTATCATGTTAGAGAGATAAGGCCGAGTCCCCACTCAGATGTTCACAGTCTATGAGAGGCAGATGTGCAGTCATCAGGTTCCCTGGGACATGCCCTATTATAGAAGGTGGAACTAGTAGAGGCAGAGGCTGAAGTGAGGTCATAAGAGCTCCACAGAGGATGTGAGGTTAGATAAATCATTTTCCAATTTGGGAAGCAGAGGCAGGGAAAGAGGAGGACTATTCTCTTGCAAGGGCAGCATGTGCTGAGTCTCCCAGCAGGCAATTACACTTACAAATGGTGGGAAGCAGGCAATAGTCCCCAAGATGTCCATGTCCCAATCCCAAGAGCCCATGAATATGTTATGTTATATGGCAAGTGAGATTTAGGGCTGCAGATGAAATTAAGGCTGCTTGTCACCTGGCCTTGATATTGCAGATTATCGTGGGTAACCTGGTGAGCCCAATGTAACCACAAGGGTTCTTACTGGAGAAAGGAGGCAAAAATGTCACTGCCCAAGTGATGGGATGTGGGAAGGACTTGATCTGCCATTGCTGGCTTTGATTATTGAGAAAGGGGCTCAAACTCAAGGAATGTGGATGGCCACTAGAAGCTGGAAAAAGCAAGAAAACAGAATATGCCACCCCAAAATGTATTTCTTTGGCATATGGATTATTTTGAGCTAAAGACAAACTGAAAACCAGCAAAGGCAGGAAAAACTTCTTACCACTCCATGACTGTTTAAAAATAGAGTATAAATTTCCTTTTGGTAAAGGAAATTTAGATTTATAAGGAAAATTTACATTATTAAGATAATTTTCATCTGTAAAGATGTCTCCTACCAGAAAGAGAGCTGCTTCTCCAAATAACTCTGATCACCTGGGAGATTTCTCTGCAAAACAGGATAACTTATTCACTGTACATTTCCTCCTTTCACTTTCCCATAAGTTGCCTTGCTACCTAGAAACCCAAAACCCCCTTTCCTTTGTTTAGATAGACTTGGGTGGTGTATAAGCCTTAATCATCTGGCTGCTTCCTTAAAATACAGATGATCCTTGATCTACAATGAAGTTACTTCCTTATCAATCCATCACGACTTGAAAATATCATAAGCCAAAAACACATTTAGTACACCTAACCTCAAAACATAACCAAACTTAACCTAGCGTACCTGAACTGTGAACAGAACACATGCATTAGCCTACTATTGGAAAAATAATCTAACACAAAGCTTATTTTATAATAAAGTATTTATTAACTCATGTAATTTATTGAATACTGTACTGAAAGTGAAAAACAGAATGGTTGTCAGGGAACATCTATATATTTCTCTTTGTGAACTCCCATACGTACCTACATAATAACTGGTTTTCCTCTTGTTTATCTGTCTTTTATCAGGTTAATTCGTGAGCTCCAGCCATTGAATATGGAATAATAGAGAAAAAAATAATTTTTCATCCCCTACAATAGTTTGTCCCCTTGACCTCAAGAAGGACTTCAGCCCTGTAGACACCTTGATTCTAGCCCAGTGAGATCATTTCAGGAGTTTGACCTCCAGAACACTATGATAAAAGAAAATGTGGGTTTCCTTAAGGCACTATGTTGGGGGTAACTTGTTATAGCAGCAACAGAAAGCTCACATATATGATGTACAATTTCCATGGAGCTTTGTTGATATACACAGTGGTATTTTCTGATCATTTTCCTTTTAATTCTAATCTCAATATATTTAACATTCTAAGGTAAAAGTTTTACATAGTTTACTCAAACTATAATATAATGAGAAAACAGATCATAAAGATGGAGAAAACTAGAATAAAAGTCAACCAACTGGGGTTTCATATTCCATCTACATCAGTATCCATGAGAAAACCCAAGGGTCACAATTTCAAGTCCTGTGGTAGGTAGATAGTTCATAAAATTGTGAGATGATTAATAAAATTATGCTAGGGATACAAGAAGCACAAAATTTAGTATACTGTGGTGAAGCCTAAACCTACCTGGCAGAACTGATTTTTCAAACACCAAACCAGCAAGAGGGTCTGCTGGCTGCAGCCCAGCCATCTAACCCTCCAGACTGAGAGCACAGATCTAGAGTCTAAATATTGAAAGCAACAGTCTGAACACAAACTAGCTGCACTGAAATGTGAAAAGTGCTATCTGGGAAGACCAGGTTGTGGGGAACTCACACAGAAGTGAGCAAAATCTACACACCCAGCATGGACTGAGATCCTAACAGAAGATAGTGGGTCCTCTCCAAACATTCCTAGCTCAACACTGACCCAGGAACTGCACCATAAATGCTCTAACCCTGCAGGTGGAGTCTATGGACCAAAGCTCCAGGTGCATAGTTCTTGGACCTGCACCATGCAAAGCAGAAGTGCCTACAAATGGGCCAGAGTGACAAAAGGGACTCTGTAACTAAAAGATACCTCCCAGAACCTCAGCAATACCAGCAGTGAACTGGGTCTTGGGGATCATCCAGTCCAACCCCCTTATTTCACCTAGTTTGGGAAGAGGCTCAACTTTGGTGAACCCAGCAGGTATTCATGACCCATAGATCCTACTCTTCTAATGAAAACTATCTCTTTACCTGGAAATTCACCCACTTGCATCCCCACTCACTACAGTGGGGATGCGCCATCTTCCTACCTGGACCCCACTAGCGCTGTCTTCAGAATCTCACACCCTCACTTGACCTGGCCTCTCCCACTGCTAGTTCCCAGAGCAATCAAGTGTCATATTACTTCCAAGCTGCCTTTCCATTCTGGGATAAAACTACATGGTAAGAGGAAAGAGACTCTTCTAGAAAAGCTGGAGACAGCAGGGGTGTCTTCTGTGTAAGGAGCTCGGGTTTTAGGGGAACTCTCCTGTCTGGCTGCCTCTCCCATGGCACCCGCTCACTCTGCCCCAGCAGCATGCTCTAGATCCAGTCTCCAGGAAAGACCCAGCGGTGTGAGAAGCAGTCAAGTGTGTGTACCTCCTTTAGTTCAGCTGAATAGTTCAGGATCTGTTGCGTATGAAGATCATCAAAGCCAAACTGGGATTTGAGATCATACTGGACTTTCTGTGGATCCCACATTATATTCTGCATGGACAGGTGGTAAACTGGCTCTGCTGGAACAACAGAAGATTTACACCATCAGTTGTTGGAATATTTTGATATGTCTAATGTAAGTCAGAAAAAAATACCTTTTTACCTCTAAAGGGAGAGCAAATGAAGACCAAACACCATTGGGGCATCAAATAGAAAAAGCAAACAGAATAAACACTTGCTGCTATAGAGAGAATGGTGAAGTGTCCCATGCTCCCTGGCACAAATGGTTGCAACATTTCCAGAGGGTAATTTTAAAATGTATTTCAAGAGCTTTATAAAATTCAAGTCATTGAACCCAATAATTTCACTTCTAAAAATCTTTCTCAAGAAGCTTAATCAGATATCTGAACAAAAATTAAGGTGTGACAATATTTTAAAGGTTCTATACTGATAAAATATTGAAAACCAACTAAGTGTCTAATATCAAGGGAAAGGATAAATTATAGTATATTCATAGCATAAAATACTATGGAGTCTTTAAAACTATATTCCCAATAATTATTTGAAGTCATAAGAAAAAGTTCCCCTAACTCAAGTTATCAACGTATAAAATTCATGAGCTACCCAAAAAACCCATGGCACTATCTAGAGGTGACACATTCAAAATATAAATCCAAGACTCTCAAGGTACAACAAAATCTCTGGGGAGTATGCCTCAGCAACTGCAAACATGAAAACACATACATTTCAAGCTGTGTTTGAACCTTGAACCTTCATTTAGAAACTAGATTGTTGCAGATCATGATTCAACACTCATTGACTGAGCCCCTTCACCTGCCAGCCACTATTAAACCATTTTCACATGCATTATCTCATAGGATCCTTATAATTGCAGTGAGGTCTACAAAAAAAGCACAATCCATGACATTTACAAAGACAGACCAAGTGAACGGGGACTTCAGGAAGGTATTAAAGATGGGGAAAATCCCAGAAATACAAGACTTTTTGTTTCCAGTCTGATTGCCTTTACATGGCATCATGGGAGGAGAAAAGATTGGTATCTGAGATTAAAACAAGCATGTATTGTATGTTGAAGAGGTACTAGGACCTAGACTAAGAATATACCATGGGAGGTCTCACTTAGTCCTCCAACAACACTATGAGGTAGGTGCTGTAATTGTCCCCTTTTTCTTAGAGTCCTACTTGTTAGATGAAGCCTCCGATTCAAACCCGAATGATCTGGCTCCTGAAGCTGAGCTGTAACTATTAATCTCCACTAGTCTCAGAAAGTATGAGAATTACTCACAGTGTTCCAGAAAGGAGAGAAAAAATAGTGACATCAGTGTGGCATATTTATAAAAGTACAAAATCTTTCTCAAAAAGTGAAAGACAATTTTGATTCAGAAATTTGTTGCTAAACAACAGAGAATTCAGAATGTGTAGATTAACAGTTTCAGTGCATAACATAATTGGACCAGTAGCCTAAAGCCACATGAGGCCACTCAGTCCTTCCTCTTCACATTGGAATTGGCTCATCAGGCAAAAGAATTTATCTTGGAGA